CCTGGAGGAGGTACTTGCCTTTTATTCGAAAATATGACGTCAGTCCGTCAGTGCTCTGGTTCTAGAAACCTCCGAACAGTTTAAAGCAGACTATGGGTGGAGAGTTTCCTTTTACCCTCTTAAGGCTCTCACCTTTTCCGAATCTAGCTTCCCTGTGCAACGGATTGGAAAGACAAGTTTGTTGTTCTAGAACGTTCTTTAAAGAGAATTTTTATTACAATGTAACAAATTTAATATGTCATCAATGATGCGTATTCTTGGGGCACCAATAAAGTCACAGAAGTTTTCACTTAAAAATGGTTCCAATGAAAAAATAAAATTATTACATTTCATTCAATATTATTATTATTATCGGATGAATTGATTTACCAGGCTAAGTCAAAAGAATTCATGGCCTCATCATATTTATTGATGTTGTTTAAAATAAATGAAAAATTATATGAGTTTAATGAATGGCTTTTCAATTTATTAAAAATTCAATCCTTTCTAATAATAGACTTGATCTTGATTATAACCTATCCATAAGGAATGATTAAATGCTGCTAATGCTTATTTATATTTTCCATCTTTATATATTTAATAGTCATCTATAATTGTAACGTTCTCCCAAGAAATAAGGGAGTATATGATTCCATATCTAAAACTGTCATTTCCTTGAACTCATATTTTTATGAGTCTATTAATTAATTTATAAATTGTCATTCCAGTTGAATTAGTTTAGTCTCATTTTAGAATAAAACCTATTGGAATATCTTAAAGAACAGTCATAATCGAATTTATTTATAATATCATTAGTATTAGGATGATTTTTTTTATAAGAATTAACCTGTAATTGAAATGAAATTTTACTTCCTCCAGTCTTCTTCTTAGGGTGATATTTTTTAAAGAGGTTGATTTCACTTCTCAATTTTAGATACTCTCTTTTTAATTTGTGTTAATTTTGTAATTTTTATAAATTATTGTCAGTTTTCACTAATAATTTATTAATTAACTTATTGTAGTAGGTCATTTCTTTTAATTATTTATAGAGTTGATATTCTTGTAGAATCTATTGTAATAGAAATTCTTATATAGTTTCAAACTTAAGACAATATGGTCATGATATATTTATGAATCCATTAATACAATTGTAACAATATTGAAGAGTTTAAAGACAATCAATATGAACTCAAAATCCTAAATTTGCTTCTCCAAGATGATTTTCATAAAGACATTGATTCTCAGTCATTAATGTAATAATTATTTTATTTCTAAATATATAAATTATTAAGTCTTTGCTAAATAATATATAATTCTATTTTAATTATCAAGTTATTCATAAGATACAGAATCAGCCAAAATCTACAATACTATTACTTATAATACAGTATGCAATTAAAATTATTTTGCTCTTTATCATCTGATCATTCGCTATTAATAATTTTTTTTTGATATATCCTAGTTTAACATTAAGTTGTGATTTGATCGATAATATAATGTTGTAAATATATATTAAGTTAAATATGTGAACACGGGATTTTGTTGACCTAATTTAAAAAAAATAAGCATTTAGTATATTCAAATCAAGTTTAAATGTTTTTCTAGATAATAAAAATACGGATAATAAGTTGTGAAAGGACAATACTCAAAAATAGTTTATAATCCAATTTAAGTATTATTTGGAAATTAAATTACATCTGAAATAATGAAAGCTAAACTTGACATACTTACCATAGAAAACATTATAATATCAAGAATAATCTTATTTTATTATATCATAAAGTCTGATGTATTATCGACTTTTCTATATCAACTTATAAAATTGGATCTTATATTGGTGAAATAAACTTGATGTTAATTTAATATTTAGGATAGCTAAAGTAAATAGTTATTTTATTAATGCTATCGATCGTTAAGAGATACTGAGTTTAAGGAGAAATTTTGAATAAAAGATTATCTTCAATAACTAGTTGTGTCTACATTTTAACTTATAAAGGAAAGTTAATTCTAATAATTTAATTGAACTGGCTTTATAAGAGAAGAACTGAGAATTGAAGTTCGTAGCTTCAATTTATTTGTATAAATTTAATGAGTTTCATAATTTATTCATTGATACAAATCCTCCATATCACAAAATGAAGAACATCCAGCTCCTCCAAAAATATTTCATCATCACACTCTTCAGATTTATTGACTAGAAGTCCATTCCCACATTAATTTATACATAAATAATTAATTAGCAATTGATTTTCTCAACATCTTAAAGTAAAATATTCCTTAAACTTGTAATTGGAACTCAATGTTTTGATCATTTTTATACGAATTTATTTACAAAATTTTTTAAGTTCAATATCTAAAATGTAAAATTTATCCTCATGCATTATACATTAATTTTATTCACATTCAACACAACATTAAATTTTCATCATATGATTGATCATTTCCATCATGACCTTTCTTATAAACCCTCTATCGTAATACTGCCTCCACATTTTGCAATTAAACTATTAATTAATTAATAATACTAATTATTAGCTAAACATTAATTCTATACATTATCCAGAAAGCATATAATACATTCAAATTCAGAAAACAGGTCTATATATGGCATACATCATAAGGTATTCAATTTCCATCATCAAGTAACTCAGGTTCAACTATTTGGTGAAAATGCATTTATAAAATAAATATTCCATCTAACAAACCTCACAGACAAACTAATTATAAACTCCACAAATAGAATTAAAGTTAGACAATTAGAGTTGATATATTAAATTATTGAGTCAAAAACTTCAGTACCTAAAATTTATCCATCTTCACATTCTTATTCACAGCCATTATTAATTAAATTATAACCAAATTAACAGTTAATAAATTAGCCATAATTACAAACTTGACAATAAAAATTTACAATATCTATATCATCGATCCTCAAATTCCCTACAATTAAATGTCACCATTTTAGTAAAGCAAGCAAAATTTTGAAATTCTTATTCGCAAAAATTGAACAAATCATAGAATATAAATTTGAATTAAAGCATTATTCTTTTTCTTTAGCAACTATTCCATCTTTACATATAAATTCACATTTAGCTCCTTTTAAATTTCAACCATTTTTTTCATCATATATCAAATCCCTTAATTTCAATGAATACAAAGATTATAATATTTAAATTAAAAAAATGATGTCCATCAAAAATATTATCATCATCTCATTATTCATTTTTTATTACCAATAAAAATTGATATGCAATTAGTAATAGCCTTAATTAATTAATAATTCTCTTTGCTTTGATAACATTTACCTTTAAAACAAATTACCATTCATCTTTACTTGTAAATTAACATTAATGATATTCCTCAAATGAATCATTTTTACCATCATCAAAATCTTATTCAACAACTATGTTTAATCTCCACAAATTGATAGATATGATAGATTTAATTTGTAATCAAAATAGCCAGGCCAACATAAACATAAATTATTTAAATGCTTCTATAAAGTTATTGAAGAACAAGAAAGAAAATTATACTTAGAACTACCATCAAAATGTTCACACAAGTTTTACATTAAACACAAAAATTCACTTATACAAAAGTAAATGGCTTACCTAAACATAGACCATTATATTATTATATTGATACATTAAATCTTCAGCACTTACAGATAAATGCATTTAGATTGATAGCAATTATTGCAAGCATAACTTTCTGTTTATTCATTAAAGTATGAATATTAATTGCTACTACAAACTGAAATTTTATAACTTGACTACCAAAAATTACATAAACTTGAACTCACTAAACTTACAAAAAAAAAAGGTTGATTAAATTTACTTGGTGAGCAACAATTAGATTATCTGGGATTTCACAGAATCCTTGTAGTATATACTAGTATAAGTTATTATGATAAATTAATTCAAATGTATCTATAAGGAATTTAGTAATTCTAAGGTTTTAGTCCAGCTAGTTATGATTCTCCTCCATAATACACATATGGTCCAGAAAATAAGCTGTTAAAAAGCACCTATTTTTTCGTAAAAAATACTACCATAAATATCACTATATGGAAAATTAAGTTAGATAGAAACTGCATCATTAAGTTTTAGACAGTGTCTTGATTTCTGATCCATAATTCCAAATTAATAAACTTAAGAAACGGAAATTTTCAATTAGTTGCAAAATGATAGGATGGGTTTCTTACTATATCATAAAATTAATTTAAATTTTGAATAGNATTATAAACTCCACAAATAGAATTAAAGTTAGACAATTAGAGTTGATATATTAAATTATTGAGTCAAAAACTTCAGTACCTAAAATTTATCCATCTTCACATTCTTATTCACAGCCATTATTAATTAAATTATAACCAAATTAACAGTTAATAAATTAGCCATAATTACAAACTTGACAATAAAAATTTACAATATCTATATCATCGATCCTCAAATTCCCTACAATTAAATGTCACCATTTTAGTAAAGCAAGCAAAATTTTGAAATTCTTATTCGCAAAAATTGAACAAATCATAGAATATAAATTTGAATTAAAGCATTATTCTTTTTCTTTAGCAACTATTCCATCTTTACATATAAATTCACATTTAGCTCCTTTTAAATTTCAACCATTTTTTTCATCATATATCAAATCCCTTAATTTCAATGAATACAAAGATTATAATATTTAAATTAAAAAAATGATGTCCATCAAAAATATTATCATCATCTCATTATTCATTTTTTATTACCAATAAAAATTGATATGCAATTAGTAATAGCCTTAATTAATTAATAATTCTCTTTGCTTTGATAACATTTACCTTTAAAACAAATTACCATTCATCTTTACTTGTAAATTAACATTAATGATATTCCTCAAATGAATCATTTTTACCATCATCAAAATCTTATTCAACAACTATGTTTAATCTCCACAAATTGATAGATATGATAGATTTAATTTGTAATCAAAATAGCCAGGCCAACATAAACATAAATTATTTAAATGCTTCTATAAAGTTATTGAAGAACAAGAAAGAAAATTATACTTAGAACTACCATCAAAATGTTCACACAAGTTTTACATTAAACACAAAAATTCACTTATACAAAAGTAAATGGCTTACCTAAACATAGACCATTATATTATTATATTGATACATTAAATCTTCAGCACTTACAGATAAATGCATTTAGATTGATAGCAATTATTGCAAGCATAACTTTCTGTTTATTCATTAAAGTATGAATATTAATTGCTACTACAAACTGAAATTTTATAACTTGACTACCAAAAATTACATAAACTTGAACTCACTAAACTTACAAAAAAAAAAGGTTGATTAAATTTACTTGGTGAGCAACAATTAGATTATCTGGGATTTCACAGAATCCTTGTAGTATATACTAGTATAAGTTATTATGATAAATTAATTCAAATGTATCTATAAGGAATTTAGTAATTCTAAGGTTTTAGTCCAGCTAGTTATGATTCTCCTCCATAATACACATATGGTCCAGAAAATAAGCTGTTAAAAAGCACCTATTTTTTCGTAAAAAATACTACCATAAATATCACTATATGGAAAATTAAGTTAGATAGAAACTGCATCATTAAGTTTTAGACAGTGTCTTGATTTCTGATCCATAATTCCAAATTAATAAACTTAAGAAACGGAAATTTTCAATTAGTTGCAAAATGATAGGATGGGTTTCTTACTATATCATAAAATTAATTTAAATTTTGAATAGTATCTTGAATTTACAATATCATTTTCACTCTACATAAAATGATAATCTACACTATTTGATGAGTGTATAAAACACGCAATTTCACATTAAATTTTTCTATATTTAGTACTCAGTTCCACAAAATAAACATTTATAATTATCAGAACAAATCTTACAATTATAATAAAAAAATTTAAGTCAATTGTGAGACTTTCAAAAACTTCATAATTCATCTTCATAGATTTTTATATAATAATAATAAATTATTATTAAATAACCCAAAAAATTAAAATTTAGAAATGTAATTTTTTATAACCATCAAATTTCCAGATAATTAAGTCTTCTTTAAATTATATCAAATTTAAAATAATTTACAAAAATACTTTCAAAGAACTTAATTTTATTTGAAGAAATACTAAAGTACCTACATTTAACATTTATCATCATTTAATTTCTGATTAGTTAGGTTCTTTGTGAAGCACATATTCTTTTCAATGTTTAGATTTTCAGCCATCAAATACCATTGGTATATTGTACACAGCCCGTTTCAACAGACAGAATCAATCAATTAATGTAGAGCAGATCCCTCATAATTTTAGGCCTTCCCTGACTGAATATTTTGATGAACTAAAAGCAATTATATCTACAGTTATATCCATTCATAAAAAATTAATTCAAACCCCAAAGGTTATGATCAATTTATTGAGCATATAAAAAGAAAAAGAATCAAGAAAATTGAAATTTCTTTAGTAAACTTATTATTAAAGTAAAAAAATACAGATTGAATTATTCAAACACCAAAAAAATATGTTTAACTAACTTCCATACTCAAAATTTCCAAAGGATTCCAATTATATCTATTGAAAGAAGAATAAGAAAAAGTGAACTTCATTTGATTGTTTTTATTATGCAGATTATCCAATATGAACTCAATTATCTAATAATAATTCAAACCTAAAAAGAAAAAAATCTATAATATTTTTATTGTGAATATTCATTTTATAAACACAAATACCTTTATAAAAAATTTATTATTTAATATCCCTCATTAATAATTAATATTTATTAATCTTTTGAATTGGTAAATTAAAAGATATTCAGTTCTTTTCAATATACATTCAATCTTTTAAAAATCCTTACTCCTCAGTTTTCCCTAATTTTTAATTTTTAAACCTTTACAACTTTATCCGAGACCAAATTACCAATTTAATTATATTACCAAATATTCATAATATTCATAATAACGAAGAGATCCCATCATCTCACCCACCTTACTAGAGTATAAATTGAAATTTTCCTCCCTCATTGGAGTACANTTGATGAGTGTATAAAACACGCAATTTCACATTAAATTTTTCTATATTTAGTACTCAGTTCCACAAAATAAACATTTATAATTATCAGAACAAATCTTACAATTATAATAAAAAAATTTAAGTCAATTGTGAGACTTTCAAAAACTTCATAATTCATCTTCATAGATTTTTATATAATAATAATAAATTATTATTAAATAACCCAAAAAATTAAAATTTAGAAATGTAATTTTTTATAACCATCAAATTTCCAGATAATTAAGTCTTCTTTAAATTATATCAAATTTAAAATAATTTACAAAAATACTTTCAAAGAACTTAATTTTATTTGAAGAAATACTAAAGTACCTACATTTAACATTTATCATCATTTAATTTCTGATTAGTTAGGTTCTTTGTGAAGCACATATTCTTTTCAATGTTTAGATTTTCAGCCATCAAATACCATTGGTATATTGTACACAGCCCGTTTCAACAGACAGAATCAATCAATTAATGTAGAGCAGATCCCTCATAATTTTAGGCCTTCCCTGACTGAATATTTTGATGAACTAAAAGCAATTATATCTACAGTTATATCCATTCATAAAAAATTAATTCAAACCCCAAAGGTTATGATCAATTTATTGAGCATATAAAAAGAAAAAGAATCAAGAAAATTGAAATTTCTTTAGTAAACTTATTATTAAAGTAAAAAAATACAGATTGAATTATTCAAACACCAAAAAAATATGTTTAACTAACTTCCATACTCAAAATTTCCAAAGGATTCCAATTATATCTATTGAAAGAAGAATAAGAAAAAGTGAACTTCATTTGATTGTTTTTATTATGCAGATTATCCAATATGAACTCAATTATCTAATAATAATTCAAACCTAAAAAGAAAAAAATCTATAATATTTTTATTGTGAATATTCATTTTATAAACACAAATACCTTTATAAAAAATTTATTATTTAATATCCCTCATTAATAATTAATATTTATTAATCTTTTGAATTGGTAAATTAAAAGATATTCAGTTCTTTTCAATATACATTCAATCTTTTAAAAATCCTTACTCCTCAGTTTTCCCTAATTTTTAATTTTTAAACCTTTACAACTTTATCCGAGACCAAATTACCAATTTAATTATATTACCAAATATTCATAATATTCATAATAACGAAGAGATCCCATCATCTCACCCACCTTACTAGAGTATAAATTGAAATTTTCCTCCCTCATTGGAGTACAGCGTATTATAAAGGAAAAATTTCTGAATTAATCATACAAATATAAATACTTTATAATTAAATTTGAATCAGTGATATGAAAAAAGAATTATATTGAATGTTCCAATTAATTAGAGAAATTTAGCATGAACCTTAGGTCCTATATTTAAATATTAATGGAAGAAAAATTTGCTATCCTGGATTAGTTTTATTTGGATTTTGTATTCGATTCACTTTATAACTGTTGATTTTTATTAAAAAGAAAAGATTTAATATGATTTAATTAGAAAGCATAGAAGTGATAGAAAATTTAATTCAAATTTTATAATTTTACAGGCTTTCTATTCAAACGAATAGAAATTTAGTATAAATATTATTTAAATTTATCATCATATTTTTATATATTTCTTGAATATACAAGCATGATAAATCTGATTAACTAGCATTGATGGATATAAGTTTAAAATATCGTAATTATAGTAAATTTTGAACAAAAGGCAAATACTAGCATGCTTAAATACTTTCGGAATTCCAGAACATGATAATGGCTCGAGCTTCCCTCTAGTCAGAATCATATATTCACTCCAATTTGTTCACGTCCAAATTTTAAGTCAGAATGATGATAAAAAAACTTATTATTTCTAAATATTCTATTGTATAATATTTGAAAATTTCTTTAGTGTATTAAATTTTCTATTTTTTAAATATTTCAATACTTATTTTTGATGATGTCTTCTGCTGGTTTGAAATTTTTATATGTTCAAAGTTTTATAAAAATATTTGAATATTAGATATCAAATAAAAAAGTTGTGAAAGACATTTTAACCAACTTATCAATTATGAAAAAAATTTCTTAATTAACCCAATCCAAATTTTTTTTCTTAATTAAATTATTTCATTAAATTAAACAAAATAGAAAATTACTTAAAATGTAAAATATCGATATTATAACTCTGGATATAGTTTATTGTTAAATAGTAATATTAACATAAATTACTCAAATAGACTTAATTTACCATAATTTTTCATAGGTGAAAATGATGCAAAGCTAGCCATTAATTTAATTTGAGCTACTTAATTTATTCAACTTTAGACAAATGCTTTTCATTTCCTAAATAATTGAGACCAACCTTTTCCAGCTAAGGAAAGTTAAACCACTTAAACAAATTATAATTTGTAAATTATATAATATATATTTTAAAGACCCCTTATTATAAACTATAGATATGATTGATATTTAAAGAGCTTTAATACAATTAAATGATTTTGAAATATTAATAATAATATTTGATTATTTATTGATAATACTTCATATTGATTCAAGTAAAGTCTTGCTTATAATTTGTAAGTCAGGAGTAAATTTTCGTTTTTCCATTAAAAAAAAGTCCCGAATCTGAAAATATTGAAATTCAATTTCTTCCTATGGAATTTCTTCTTTAACAATATAGCAAACTTTTGTATATAGTACATAATTCTCTATAAAATTTAGAGTTTTACATATTTCTTGATTATTTAAATTACTACTGGTTAATAAACATTAACTATCAATCCAACTTCTTCTAAGATTTCTCTTTTAATTGCATCATCTATTGATTCATTTATTTCAATTTTTCCTCCAGGCAAGGTCCATCTATTTTTGTAAGGTGCCTTCTCTCTTTTTATTAATAAAAGACTTTAATCCTTAATAATTAGCCCTGATACGCCTCTTCTTAAGGAATTCATTAGAAATAATAAATAAAATAAATATATAACATAAAGACAACTTTGATTTAAGTTTATAAAGAACACAATTTAGAATGATTTGATGGGTAAATGCTTGATTATGAATAAATAAAAAAGAATAATTTAGAAATAACTACATATAATAAGTATTCATAAACACATATATTTAATTTGCTTTCCTTTATCAAAGAAAATTGTCTACTGATAAATCAATTCAAAGAAATCATTGAACAAGAAGAAATTGTGAGGAATATTAGAAATCAAAATTTTTTAAGGTAATGAATATTAAAATATTCTTTAAATAATTTGAGTTGCAATTAAATTTTGTTAATTTTTTCATTTATAATTTAATTTTGAATATCAGGGTCTAGTACACATTTAAATGATTTTAAAATTTAATTCCAAACAACCATCAAGTGATTTTTGTAGTTATATAAAAATATTTATTCGATTTCAATTTTCAATTTCCAAAAGATTATTTTCAAAAATGATAATATTTTAAATAATTACGTTAATCATAAGCTAAATCAATATTTTTAACAAAGTTTTTTTAACTTTTCTATTTTAGAATTTTATGTAAATATAGTTAGATCATAGTATATTCTCAAAAATAAATAAAAACCTTAAAACTAAGCTTTATAAATAAAAGGCACACGAAACTAAAAGCTGTTCCATCAATGATATTTTAGTAGAAAATAGAGAAACAAACCTTTTATTGATTCATCTTTATCTCTATCTGCAAAGAGGTCGGTTGATTGCATCATTAATTAAAATATAAAAACTTATTTTATTGGTTTTATATAAGGATACATTATCGAATATAAGATGAATAATATAATTAAAATATCCCTAACTTCAAAAAGAGAGAAAGCATGATGATCAAGCAATCTATCTTTTATTTCTTGCTATTAGAAATAATTAACACTCAATCTTCACATACTTGTCCTACTGGTTGTTCAGCATGCAGTGGAGCTAGTGGCAATTGTAGTGGTTGCTTATCTGGATATTACTTGGTAGGGTAAAATTGTAATGCATGCCCAGCAAGTGGTTGTCCATTATGTCAACTACCATGTTCAACATGTGTAACAGGTAGTTCAAATTGTTTAACATGTAATGACTCTGCTAATTAAGAGTTGTCTGCATGTTAATGCAAAGCAGGATATATTATGAACACCTCAAATTACTTATGCGATTAATGTTAATTTCCATGTGCCACATGTTAAACAAATGTTAATTATTGTTTAACATGTGCTTCAACCTATACATTGAATTCTACTAATCATACTTGTGAATGTTAAAATAACTAATATGAGTCAAATAGTAATCCTAAAACATGTTAAAATTGTACTAGTCCATGTTAAACTTGTACTTCATCAGATACTTTTTGTACATCTTGTGTATCAGGATTAAACAAAAAACTATTCAATAATTAATGTATTTGTGATGATGGCTTTTATGGGAGTGCCACTTGTACAGCTTGTAATAAACCATGCAAAAATTGTAGTTCAAGTACGATTTGTACAACATGCAATGACCCAATTCACCAAACAGGAACATCATGCACATGTCCAGCAACTTTCTTTATGAATACGTCTTTTATGTGTTAAAGTTGTGTAAGTCCTTGCTTAAATTGCACTTCAGAATTATTATGTACATCCTGCATTGATAACTATTTCCTTTCTTTAAACTCATGTATATAGTGTAATTTGCCATGTTAAAATTGCGTTGATCTTGCAACAAAATGTACTTTATGTGCTGATGGATATTTCATGGATAATTTATTAGCTTGTTAACCATGTATATATCCTTGTAGTAAATGTTAAAATAATGGTAATTATTGTTTAGATTGTGCATCAACTTATGTGATGAGTACTTCAATCCCAAACACATGTGATTGTCCATATAATTCTATTAAAGTATTAACTAATAATCCCGTAAATTGTCAACTTTGTACTTAACCATGTGAAACATGTTTAGGAACATCAACAAATTGTTTAACATGCTTAGATAATAGTTTAACTATTAATTCTTCTAATTAATGTGTTTGTAATTCTGGTTATGTTTTTGATAGTAGTTTTCATTGCATACCTTGCTAAAGTCCTTGTTAAACTTGTTCAGGTAATGATACTCACTGTGATACTTGCACTGATTCTAATCATTTAATTAATGCAGCATCTCAATGCATTTGTAAGGACACATTTTATTCAAATACCGTTAGTACTTGTGCATAATGTACATACCCTTGCTATAAATGTGATGCTAATGGATGCATAACATGCATCGATGTTAATAAAATAGCTAATTCTTCTTAACAATGCGTTTGTAAACCAGGATTCTATGAAGATGGACTTAATTGTTTATAATGTGCTTTTCCTTGTAAAACTTGTGAAATTCAAGAAGATTAATGTTTAACATGTATTGATACAAATTAAACCTTAATCAACAATAAATGTGTATGCACAGATGGATATTTTGAAATCAATATGTAATGTTAATAATGTGACATATAATGTGATACATGCTCTCAACAATCTGATAACTGCCTTAGTTGTAACGAATAAGCAAATAGAAAACAATAGAAAAATAAATGCGTTTGTTTGGATGGTTATTTTGAAAATGAAATTAAAGTGTGTTAGTCATGTAATTCCAATGAGGGTAAAATTAATAAGGATTGCAAATATAAAGACTGCTCTGACAATATTTGGACATAAGGAGAAGATTGTGATGATGGGAATAATGAATCTAGAGACGGTTGCTCAAATTGTAAAATTGATAAAGATTATTCTTGTATCAATACCTTACTTGAACCATCATTTTGCTTTAAATGTAGTGATAATTGTAAAGAATGTTAAATGAATAAAATCTAAAAATAGGTTGTTTGTATTAAATGTAATTAAGGATATTTCTTATAATAAAACTAATGTGCTTAATGTGCTGAAAAATGTTTAGATTGCAAAAGCAGTGCTTCAAATTGTATTAGTTGTAGATATTAAACTAAATCAAATGGAACATGTTAATTATGTGAGAGTACAATTGGTTATTATTCTGATCAAATTAATAATAGATGCTATTCTAAGTGCGGAGATTCATTTAAAACTACAGAAGAAGAATGCGATGATGGTAATTTATTATCAGGAGATGGATGCAACTAATATTGTAAAAAGGAGAAATAATTCCTTTGTTAAGATGGAATATGTATTATACCTGAATATCCCATTCCAGTATTATTAAGCTATGGAGATACTTCTTTATATAATAATAAAAGAAAATTTAAATTAGAATATAATACACTTTTAAATTTGACTCAAGATAATATTATAGAGAATCAGTTAAAATTATATATAAAAAAATAAATGAATATTAATCCAATTGATATTCCTTATATAATAGAAAGATAATATTCATTTAATAATCAAGGTAACATAAATTTTTCGGTAAGTGTCGAGATATTATTTAATCGAAGTACAACAAATGAGGAGCTTTTAATTAAATATCTTAATGTAGAATAGATTATATCAAATAAAGGATACTCATAAACATAAAATGAAATTTCGGCTTTAATTCCTAAATTTATATATATAGATCAAACTGCTGTTGCTTAAGTTGAAATGGCTACATCTAGCAATTCAATTTTGTTGTATATTATGGCTTTTATGGCTGGAGGAGCAATTTTGTTTGGTGGTTTAGAAATATTTTATAATTTATTAGATACAATTTAAATGTTATCATACTTAAAATACATCAATACTCAATATCCTTATAATCTTGAAACATTTTTTGATTTTTTTGGTTTTGCCTAACTCAGTTTTATATCAAAATATTTGGATTTATAAGAATAAATTGATCCTTATATTGCTTATGAAAATCTAAAACCTATACCAGAGAAAATATAAATGGATGATTTTAATTCTTTATTTATTATAAATGGATCATCAATTGTATTTGTTTGGCTCACGCTTATTGGAGTTTACTTGACATCTAAAAATATTCCAAGAATTTTGTCTAAGATTAGATTTAAATATTATAACGACATCCCAGAAAAATTAGATTTTGAACTTAAACTTAAGTTTTGGTTGTTAGCTTTAAAAATTTATATTGTTGAACTATGTTCAATGATAGTATCTGAGTTTTTCTACAGTGGTATTTTAAGAACTTTCATTGCTACTGCTTATGACTATTCATTTTCAATGTCTCTATAACTTTCAGCATTACAAATAGATTCATCAGATGGTCTTGTTGGATTTAGTTCTTTTTTAGCTCTGATGGCTTTAGGAATATATTTATTTACTATCTATTTTGTCACAACAATATGTGGCGATCCTAATTTTAAGTATAAAGAATATTAGAATAAACTTAAGTATTAGTCCCTATTTGAAGGCATTAAAAATGATATCTATAGTAAATATTTTAATGCTATTAGTCTCATCTAAAAATTACTTTTCATAATTATCCTGATATTTTGCTATTAATCACCTTTTTATTAGACAATAAATTTAGCACTTTTATCAGTTTTATAAGTTATATTTTTATTTCTTTTTAAACCTCTGGATGATAAAAAAGAGTTTATAAAGTAATTTTCATGCGAAATTAATAAAACAATAGCATTATTTTTTATATTAGGGTTAGTTTTTGATTAAGAATCCAAACTTCTAGGTGAAAACATGCGATCTATTATAGGATGGATTTGCATTGGTAATATTAGTTTAATTTTTGCAATTTAAATCATAATCGATGCTATTCAATAATGGATGCTCTTAATTAAAAAATATAGGAAGCTTAGAAAATTTGTAGATAAATTTTATCAATACATAGCTCCACAAAAGCCTAAATAAGTAGATCATCGACTTTTTACATAAGGAACTATAAAAAATACTTGAAATTTATTTATTTGATATTTATTAATATTTAATTAGATAATCAGAAGTAATTTTAATATCATTATATGATTAAGAATATTTTCTATTGGATATCAGTTAAGCAAGTCTTTAGTAATTATTTTAATGATGGGAAAGTGAATAATTTATGATTTCATGAATTATTGGAGAATGAAATAATAATCAAATAATTACAGGATTTAATTTATAAATTGAAATTATTTTAATAAGATTAATTCTAATTAATATTTTCTTAATTTTAATTTTCATCAAATCTTAACTCTCAAATTTAAATAGTTGAATTATAATAATTAAGTTAAAAATATTTATATATTGAATAATAATTTTAGAATTTCGAGGAGAGATGATAAAAAGAAGTAAAAAAATTGAGATTTACATGAAGATTGAATAAATTTCATCATATTTATAAACTATTTTATATCTAAAATAATCATGTGATATATTATAAGTTATAATTAAAATGATAACTTTTAAGAGTGCTATAATTTTAGTATCCTTAACCATCAGATTTGGAAGTACATATGCCTTCATTGATTTGTAAACCAAATTTTTCAGTTATCTTATCTATACCATTTGTAATAGACACATTATTGGCACAATTACTACAAATATTTATTGAAGTCAAACCAAACTCCATCCTTTCCTTTTGTATATGTATTAGTCGATTAATTATTACAATTGTTATTCATATAATAATAACATCACTTCCCATGATTTGTAAATGAATATTTTTTATCAAAATTTAGAATGTATCAAATGTATTGAACAATCAGGTTTGCATTTATCATTTGCTTCAAATACCACAACTGCTCTTTAAAGTTCTACACTCTAAACCATTTTTCTAGAAAGATCACTAAATTTTAATTTAGAAATAATCTGACAAAAATTAAGTAAATAATAACAATATTCGCCACTTTTACCATTTACAATCAACAGATGCTTTATGACTATTCAATTGTTATTTTTGGTAATCTTCAGTTCCAGTTCCATTAAAATATTAACAGTACAAGTAAAATCAAAAGAATTACAATAACCACCTTTAAGATTTTTCCTTCTACTATAGAGCAATTACATTTAGCCAGATCTTTATAAGTTTTAGTACCCATATTCAATTTACATTAAGCTTTATCTCCAAGGATTGCTCCCAAACAAACTTTTTCATTTCGATAATCACTAAAAGCACCTTTTTCAAGTCACCATGGTGAATTAGTGAGGGTGCTTTAATTAAATTTAGCTGTACATAAGCATGGGTGATAAAATTTTTCTAATCATCTGCATTCTTCAAACATAAAATATCATTACTTTTTAGGGTTTAGTATCCCCTGTACAATTAGCTACATTGTTATCTATGTAACATTAGCATGCAATTGCATATTAAATACATGCCAATTTATCAACACATTTGCTAACAGAATTAACTGAACATTTAGTTTTAGAATTGTTGTGAAATTGCTATGAGACTTCTTATCTAAATTTAGACATACATTTGCATCTACACATTTTTGAGTTGTGTCATTCCCAATGCAATTAAAAATTCTATAGGGCATTTTTCAAAACATTAATTTAACAGGAATTCTTGCCTAAACCAGTGCAATTGTACATTATTTACTGATCATTCAATATAAAGAAAATTTTATTTTTCTTTTATTAAATAAATTTGAAAATAATTATTAGTTACTGAACCATCATTTCCTTTTGTACCATTATAACTTTATCTAACTGCTCTAAAACGTGTGTTTTTTTATAACATTTATAACCATCGTATAAACAAGTTTTGTTTCCAAAAGTTTTTTAGGTTTTACATCATATTATTCAATTATTCAATGGAACAATAATTACATTTTAGCATCTAATTCCACATATCCTTTTTTTATTTAATTTGGTAGACAATAAGAATATGGTTCGTAATTCTCGCAAAAGGTCTCAGTATATATTCATCATCAGGCTTAGTTGAGGCAAAAGTGCATGATATTAACACAAGATGATCCATTCCAAACACGTTTCCGATCATTTTTTTCAGCTCACAATAATCCTTAATAGATAATCCCGAGAAAATCAATAGATTTGGAAAATAAAACTCAATAATACTATTGATTAGACTTAAGTACTAAAAATTGTTGAATCTATATCAATTTCACAAACAATATAGGCATAATGAAGGTTGTAAAAAAAAAGTAGTTTGGTTGAAATCCAAAATTTTTTTTTTAATTCATAACAAAGATAATAATGTAAGATCTTTTTAGACTTATTTATACACCAAAAAGAATATATTATTAAATTCTATACAAATTGGTTTAAAGAATCAAAATCATTTTTATCTGTAATAAATTAAGTAAATTTTTTGTTATATAAATTAATTAATATTTTAAAATTTCTATATACAATTTAAAATATTATAATTACACAATTATAAATATTTAATACTAAAATTCGCAAGTTCTTAACAGTTCCTTCTTGATGCTTATTTAAATTATTATTTCCAATCCTACCGCTTTCATTTTATCATCAGAACATCTTTTCGAATTTTTTGAACATTTCCAAAAATGATCTCTTTCCTAAAGTAGATTGGTTGGTAAAGTAATTGTTACACCTTAAATACTTGTTCTGAAATACTAAACACATGATCTGTTTATTACTAAATATCAAAAGAATAAATATAATTGACTTCTTCAATACTTTTAAAGTATCTAAGCATCATTAATCAAAAAAACAACCAGTTAGTAAATTGCTGAAATGTGTTATTCACATAAAATCAACAGAAGATTAAATTATTTTGATTCTGAGTTTCAAACTTTGTAATACAACATAAACCTTTTAATTAATTGATTTAAATCAAGTAAAATATTTTATATCAATCATCAAATTCGATACAAATTTATAAAGGTAAGACAAATTTGATTTTTATTTTCGAATATAATAAAGTTAACCAGACAGGATAAAATATTATTTCGTAACAATAAGATATCTAAATCATATAGAAGAAATTTCTTATGGTGAACATCTTTAATTTAATTTACTTTATATTGTTGTTGAGAAATTAAANAGGTTTTACATCATATTATTCAATTATTCAATGGAACAATAATTACATTTTAGCATCTAATTCCACATATCCTTTTTTTATTTAATTTGGTAGACAATAAGAATATGGTTCGTAATTCTCGCAAAAGGTCTCAGTATATATTCATCATCAGGCTTAGTTGAGGCAAAAGTGCATGATATTAACACAAGATGATCCATTCCAAACACGTTTCCGATCATTTTTTTCAGCTCACAATAATCCTTAATAGATAATCCCGAGAAAATCAATAGATTTGGAAAATAAAACTCAATAATACTATTGATTAGACTTAAGTACTAAAAATTGTTGAATCTATATCAATTTCACAAACAATATAGGCATAATGAAGGTTGTAAAAAAAAAGTAGTTTGGTTGAAATCCAAAATTTTTTTTTTAATTCATAACAAAGATAATAATGTAAGATCTTTTTAGACTTATTTATACACCAAAAAGAATATATTATTAAATTCTATACAAATTGGTTTAAAGAATCAAAATCATTTTTATCTGTAATAAATTAAGTAAATTTTTTGTTATATAAATTAATTAATATTTTAAAATTTCTATATACAATTTAAAATATTATAATTACACAATTATAAATATTTAATACTAAAATTCGCAAGTTCTTAACAGTTCCTTCTTGATGCTTATTTAAATTATTATTTCCAATCCTACCGCTTTCATTTTATCATCAGAACATCTTTTCGAATTTTTTGAACATTTCCAAAAATGATCTCTTTCCTAAAGTAGATTGGTTGGTAAAGTAATTGTTACACCTTAAATACTTGTTCTGAAATACTAAACACATGATCTGTTTATTACTAAATATCAAAAGAATAAATATAATTGACTTCTTCAATACTTTTAAAGTATCTAAGCATCATTAATCAAAAAAACAACCAGTTAGTAAATTGCTGAAATGTGTTATTCACATAAAATCAACAGAAGATTAAATTATTTTGATTCTGAGTTTCAAACTTTGTAATACAACATAAACCTTTTAATTAATTGATTTAAATCAAGTAAAATATTTTATATCAATCATCAAATTCGATACAAATTTATAAAGGTAAGACAAATTTGATTTTTATTTTCGAATATAATAAAGTTAACCAGACAGGATAAAATATTATTTCGTAACAATAAGATATCTAAATCATATAGAAGAAATTTCTTATGGTGAACATCTTTAATTTAATTTACTTTATATTGTTGTTGAGAAATTAAAGCAGACATTATGATTTTTTTTTTAATAAATTTATTTTAGTTAAAAAATACTAATATATTAATTTATAAATATGTATTTATTCGAAATTATAAATATTAATATGATAAATAATTCTTTTCTGCTTTTTGCATAGTTAATAGTTTTAATTTCTGGAATTCTTAAGTATGATTCTGGAGCTTTTTCTGGATTTTCAACTTGTCAGAGTGGAAACACTTAAACATACACAATTAATTTTAATGGAGTTTTTGGCAATGTTCCACAATTAATTTTGGGTCTGGAGAAAATTGACATGGGAAAAGGTGCAGATTTTAGGATATAAGCCTAAAATATTTAGACTACAAGTATTGATTTCATTAAGTTTTAGATTTTGAATTATAATTAAATTGTGTTACATCTACTCCTTTTTATTCAGCAATTTTTAATTGGTATGCCATAGATGATCAAAGGATCTAGGTTATAAATAATTTTAATATGGAAAATCCTGATAATTAGGTTTTCGATCATGATAATGCAAATGCTATTTTTGGAATATTGTCTATTACAAGTATGGGAATATATCATGATGTGGATTTCTAAATATCTGTATAATATTATTATAATTAGTTATAGATATCATCAATAACAACCACTCAAGTTACTGTAAGTATTACAAAGCATAATTGGTGGTTTGTAAATCTAAAATAAATTGGTTATTAGATTATATTAGGAATTCAAGAAGCTCTGACAGATGTTGAAATATTGTTCCATACAAGTTAATACAATAGTGGATTATTAACATAATATCCAAATAAATGGTTATTTTTATCTTATAATGGTTTTGCTTTGAATAATAACATAAGAACTAGATCAGTACGAACATCAATGTCAGAATCATACATTGTTGAGACATGTAATATCCATTAAATAATGTTTAGGGTATGGAACTTATATAAATAATTATCACTTAAAAAGCTGGATTGCATATCAATTTACAACAGTATTTTCAGCATTTGAATGCTTAACTTTAAGAATATCTTAGGCTCTTGATATGGAAGTATAGATAAAACCTAAGATATTTCTTGAAATAAATGAAATAACTTAATCATTTTCATCATCAACATATCTAATTATTGATAAAGCATTAAACCTACTTAATATGAAAATCTATATGAAGTGTACAAAAACAAAAACAATAGCAAGTTAATTTTTGAAATGTTAGAGTTGTTCAACAAAATAATACTATAAATTTTCTCATTATTGTCATGGAACTATTGATGCTGTTACTTATTTTCCTAGATTCTAATTGGCTTAATCTTTCTATAAAGAATTAAATGTTAATATACTGGTTGATAGAATTATTATTACTTAAGTATTGTATAATCAAGTTTAATCATCTGAAACACTATTGGATATACAAGTTTTGAATTCCTGATTAATGAAATAAATATATGGTTTTTAATTCTTATAAAATGAAATTTCTTTAATAATTTATTTTATATTGAAATTTCATTTGTATTATAAATAATGTATTTACAATTTATAGATTAAAATTAAGGAGTATAGAAATCAATTTATAATCATGAAACATGCTTAGCAATTGCAATTAAAAATGATAACTCAATGTTGCTTACTGGATGGGATAATAAAGTTCTTGTTCATATTTTTAAATAAGGGAAATTAAAATAATTAAAATTCTTGCATCAACATTAAGCTAAAATATCTACGCTCAATTTTTGTTCTAAAAGTTCAAATATTATATCTGGCTCACTTGATGGTTCAATAATAATTTAATCAATCTCATTAATATCAAAATCAAAATGGATTTAAAAATTAAAGGGTCATGTTGACATTATTTGTTTAGCCATAAGTCCACTATCTGAAGACTTGATAGTTACAGGCAGTCGAGATAACAGCATCAAATTTTGGTAATGTATTAACAAACAGTTTTCATGTTCTTAAACTATCTTAGACCATAACAATTGTGTATGTGGATTATCAATTAATGAATTAGAAGACACAGTTATTTCTTGTAGTTTAGATTAATTGATTATAATATTTGAATAAGTTAAAAACAATAAATATGTAAATTGGGTTGTGAAACAAAAAATATTAGTTGATTAATTTGGTTATTGTATAAGATTTATTAATAAAAATATATTTGTATTTTAGCCTTAATTGATTAATGATTCAAAATTAATTATTTACACTCTTAATGATTAGAAATTATTTATAAAGAGTAGCCAACTTTCAATTAATGATGGAGGAACATTGTACTTTAATTATTTTCCTCTTTTATATAATATCAAAAAAAATATCCTTATTTATAAAATAAATAATAATGTCAATGTCATAAGAGTAATAAAATAAGATAAGGAAGAGGAATTTGTTGAATTTAAATTAGAATAGATAATAGAATTCGAAGATTACTAAATTTTTGGTACTTTAAGTAATGATGGGGAATATTTAGTGACTTGGAACGAAATTTCCAAACAAATTTAGATAAGAAAATACTAACAGATTGGATGAATTTATTTATTTAATTTTCAATATTCTTATTTTATATTGATAAACTATAGATTACGATTATGAATCTATAAATAATTATTGATATTCTCTATTCAAATAACAAAAACTTTTGGGATAAACTTAAAGAAAATATTCCATAGATAACTGCTTAATATAATACAAGATAATTTTAATAAAACTTATATCATCATTTTTAGTTTCTAATTTTACTATA